CCACTGGGGGGAGTAGGTAGAGAAACTGGGAGTGGAGTTGAGCCTGGGAAGAAAAGGAGGGGTGGGGGTGGGGGGAAGGTGTTTTAATATCTAGCAGTTTTTCTCTTCTTCTCTGATTTTGATTGATAAATTAATTTTTTTCAAGTCGAGTCTGTTTTGCCTATGATGGTAACTGATAAAATGATCTCTCCCTGTCCTTATCTCGACCCATGAGCCTTTTGATGTACTTTTCTCTGCTCTGTCCAGTTAAAGAGGGGAGTGATAGAGTGGCTTTGGTGGGCCCCTGGCGTCCAGCCAGGGTCAAACCACCACAAATACACTGCTCAAGCCTCATGGTTTCTCTGCGCTTCTTAGAAAGCTTTAAAACCCCGTGTATTCCAGCTAGGTAAGCGGTGGCATCCTCGTACTTGCTGATTGTAAGATCTGGTTTTGCTCTTCAGTTACCTTGTAGGAGAAGAGCTCTGGGTGGTCATGGAGTACCTGGCAGGAGGCTCCCTGACAGATGTTGTGACAGAGACCTGCATGGACGAAGGACAAATCGCAGCTGTGTGCCGAGAGGTAAAGCAACACTCGCGCTCGGGGGGGAGCTGTGATTGGGAAGGGGACACACGCATTCCGCGACCTGTCACTGGCTCCGCAGGAATAGCTGTCTCCAGCTTCTCTAATGCAACAGTCAGTCTTTCAAAGGATGGATTTCATCTGGGAGGTTGCAGCACACAATCCTAATGCAAGCTGAATATGTTTCACCCTAAAGGCAGGGACTGGAGTGCAAAATGGGGTTGGAGTCCCCTTGGTTATGCCTGTTCTCCAGGTCTTTTGGGAATAACCTGTTCCAAGACCTGCTGATCTCAGTGGGATATCTCTCTGTAGCCCTGCACATACTGGATATATGAAAGACTCTAAGACACTAAGCCATTGATACTCAAAATGCACATTGTTGGAGTCCATTAGTTGGCGAATTGTGACTGGTGAATAAGTTCATGCACAGTAAAGATATCTCAAATTTTTTTTATTTTTTTTTTTTTTCAGTGTCTCCAAGCTCTGGAATTCCTCCATTCAAACCAAGTTATTCACAGAGACATCAAGAGTGACAACATCCTGCTGGGAATGGATGGCTCTGTCAAACTAAGTATGCAGGGAACATTGCTGGTGATGACTTGAGTTATCAACCCAGGCCTGTTATCTGCTATGGGGATGGGGAGGTGGGTGTTTGAGATGCTTGATGCTGTGGCCATGAAGAGGCTGTAGAACCACTCCTGTAGGTATCTTTGTGGCTTTGGTTTCAATGGAGATTGGCAAGTATGAATCCTTGTGAACTGATCCCAGACTTGAAGTGAGGTTTGGGGTTTGTTTAGCTTTGGGCCATCTATTTTTGTGGACTAAAATAACAGTATTTTAATGCTACTCTAGTCTAGAAAGCTGGGTTTGGAGGTGTAGGGCCAGAAGTCTTCATTTGTGAGCAATTTCTTCAGCCTAGGAAATACTGCAGGTACCTAGGGGGGAGTGGAGGGAGACTTGGAAACTGCGTAAGTAGAAAACATTTAATCTTACATCGCCAACCCAGACTGGACTCTAAATGTTGTTTTCTCCTTGTGTTATCACCCATAATTGAAACCTTGAGACTGTTCTGCCCCTCGGGTGCCAAGGTAGCTGTTGTGCTTGTCATTGCCCATGCAGATAAGTCTGGAAACTAGTGAATGATTATCTTCCACCTATAGCTTTAACAGAATTGTGCTCCCTGGCTCTTCCTCTCCGTTCTGTTGGCTAGCACCCAACAGGCATAAATAAATCTATTTTTGTCAGCAGTGACAGCAGATATGACTCAAAATTCACACAGTGCCGATATGCTGAGTAAGAAGGTGGGGGGTTTTTTTTTGCACATAATTGCTTTTTAGACTAAAGTTGTACTTTGGTACAGTCAGATCTCTGGAGTGTTAGTGATTAGTAGCTGATCAGGGCCAAAGTGCTCTGTTCTTACGGAATAACTTCTCTGAGCACAGTATGCAGGTACCGGGCTGTAGTTTAAAGTCAGAGAAGTCCTGTGGATATGATGCAGTAACCTTCTGGACCTGAGCTGCTTATTGGCTCTGTTGCAAATTTGCTCTGTTTACGAACCATATGTACCTTTCCTGGTTGTTACCTTTGACGAAAACTCAGCTAGGGATCGGTTTAATTTTCATCATTCTGCCTAAAATTAGACCCACGGTGCCATAGGGGGTCAGGATGGGCAGTGCTTCTTGCTGTGTTGATTCTGCTGGCCTGACAAGAACAGAATTAGTTTCCCTTTGGTAAGTGAAATACAAGACATAGGACCCAGCAGTCTTTGTGTGAAGGCTCCCCACCTTTCTTTCTATTCAAAGAAAATAATCAGTATAAATTTAGGTACTTTATTCTGAAATTAATTACTGTTTGCACTGTAAAGCAAATCCTGTTTGAGTGATGCTATATCTACTGGGGAAGTAATATCTCTGGGACTGAAAATATCACCAGACAACACAGTTTGTGGGTTGAGGGGGTGTATCTAGATCAGACTGTGCATTAATTTGTGTTTTCACATATCTAGGAGCAGTCTTTAGACCATATATTACATATATTACAGCTGCAGAATGCCGCAAACAGTCAAGTGTCTCGACATCCATATACGGTTATTTACTGATCCCCATCGTTCATATAGACAAGTCAGCAGCTCTGAGCCTCATGGCCTCAGTGAGTCAGATTTAGAAACTTGCCTCCCAACACCGTCCTCTGTATTAGCCACAAAACCACCCTTCCTTTCACAGTTGCAGCAACAACGCACCAGGCAATGCAGCAGGGTAACGTGTACTACAGCTCTGCCATCAGTAAGCGTTGGTTTTGGAGACACATGGGCCCAAAGTGGATATCTGGTCGCTGGGGATAATGGCCATTGAGATGATCGAAGGGGAGCCCCCCTACCTCAATGAGAACCCCCTGAGAGTAAGCAACTATCTTTTGCCCTCAGGTCTTCGTTAAGCCCGCCGGTAAATCTGGGCTCTTAAAGGAGGCAGGTGAATCCTCCCGCGGGGTTTCACCGCCTGCAGCCTCCTATCTCCTTAGGTGTCGCAGGGAGAAGATTTGAGATAGTTTTAGATAAAAGCTGTAGTTTGCTGTGGATAGCAGAGGTGTGGGTCCTTCCTGTTGCAGACCCTCTGGCCAGCTCTGATAAGCTAGATCATGCACGCTCATAATTTCCCACTTTCTGGAGGTGCCGATAGAGGCAGAAAGAGTACCTGGTGGCACCAAAGCAGCTGACTTCTTGAATCCTTGTGCCCTGTGAGTGGGGAAGAGCTCTCCTTAAGTTCAAAAATATGATGTGTTACTATTCTATAAGCGGAGCTTTTTCCTACTGGCGAATTGTTCCTTCTTGCATGCTCCAAATAAGCTACAAGCTTAGTAAGTCTTTAGACAGGGCTTAAGCCTCCTGATGCCTTTCCCTTGTTTAGTTTTTAATGAAAAGGGAGATGCTGTCAGTTTGTAGGGTCGTAACTGCTCTTAATGTAAGTCAGGTTTATGGCTTCTCCCCCAGCTCCACAGGAAGAGGGGATCGAGAAAAATTCTGTTCAACTTTTGTTTCCGCCTCTTGCACTGGAAGTGATTTTTGGGGAGAGAAGAGCAGCAGCAAAGAAGAGCAAAAGGAAAGAAACTGGGTGTTGAGTTAAACGAGGGTGGCTAAGTAACAGTACTTTGGCCTCATTTAACTCAGCTTGTGCCCATTCCCAGGCTGTCAGACTGCTCCCATGGGATGTGCCATGGGATCAAGGGCCTGCGTATTAACAAGTCTCTGACAGATTTCAGTTTCTTCTGAAAATCCATCCAGGAAGTTTCTTGCATGAAATCCTGAAATGGATGAATTCTGCATTCCTTGATTCTCAGAGGGGGTGTGTGTGTGAATGCTTCATCCCCAGGCAGTAGCAAAATGGCTTGTTTCTGCAGGGTGCTAAAAGCTGCTTGAGGGTCTGCTGGACATCTTCTGTAAGGAGCCAACTGCACCTTTACAGTATTGACTTTTTAGGCCTTGTGCGCTCAGGCAAAGTACTGACAGAACAAAATCTCTTATTTATTCAGGGGTGCCCTCCCATGAGGATATAGTTATTGCAGGAGTCTAGCACTGGTAGAGTCATGCCAGTTAACTTCCCTATGTAAACATGGTCTGGAATGTTGTTTTTGTGCTCCTAATCCCTTGAGAGGGCTACAGGATCCAAACCCAGATTACGAGGCTGAAACAATAAAGGATTGGATCCCATCCACATAAAAATAGGACTGGCAGCTATTCTGTTTGCAGGAACTTAAGAATTGATTAGTCACCCTGATAAGGTGGGGTTTTTTCTCCCCATTGAAGTGGGGGGAAAGAGAAGAGAAATGAGTGTCTTTGTAATCCAGAGGTGGAATCTACCTTCATAACCTCCTATTTATTTGGCGCTTGTGTTTGCTTTAGGCCCTTTATCTCATTGCTACTAACGGGACTCCAGAACTGCAGAATCCAGAAAAGCTTTCATGCATATTCCGAGACTTCTTAAATCGCTGTCTTGAAATGGACGTGGAAAAGAGAGGTTCTGCGAAAGAGCTGCTGCAGGTAGGTGATGGGGAACAGGGCTGAATCAATGTAATCGTGCCGTCACGATTGAGGCCAGGCTTACGGAGAGATCTTGGCTGGGGTCTTAAATACTGCGTCAGCTGAAGGCACAAGCACAGCTCAGGTAACCTGCTGGGGGAAAAAAAAAAAACCCACCCCAAAACCTAAATCTATAATAAAGTATTAACAGGCTACTCCCTTTTTATGCTGTACTTGCTGCTAGAAGCAGCTGTGCAGCGTGTTCTGTAACCAACCTCAAATAATAGCTGTGCCCCAGGCCTGCCAAATGCTGAACCCCTTCGTTCCCCTGGCTTCTTCGCACAGCTGGCCCTGACATCTGTATGTGTTGTCATGGTCTGGCCATGCTTGTTCTGATTTGGACAGCGGGAGGGCTTCTAGCTATCGGATGTTCTGTTTGTCTCCCTTCTGGTGGAGGGATCACGGAGCTCTTTGGAATATGCGTGGCTTGCATTAACTGGAGCAGTTTGGCGTTACCACATTTTGCCAGATACTGCTCCTTACAGAGATGATGGAACACCTTATAGCTTAAGTGAAATAGCTTAATCACAGAATGGTTTGGGTTGGAAGGGACCTTTTAAAGATCATCTAGTCCAACCCCACTGTCATGGGCAGGGACATCTTTCACTGGATCAGGTTGCTCAAAGCCCCGTCCAACCTGATCGTGAACACTTCCAATGATGGGGCATCCACAACTGCTCTGGACAACTTGTTCCAGGTTCTCATCACCCTATCATCAGTAATTTCACTGAAAACCTGGTGTCTTAGTCTGAACTCCTGGTGAAAGGGGAGGGCCAAGCTGCCAGGCTTTTTGCCAACATGGATGAGAGCAGTGGTTCATGTGTTCCTTCCTTCTATCAAATTTGCCATGGGGTGGAAGATTTGTTTTATTTTCTTTGCATTTATTTTATTATCTTTGTATAATAAATCTTTGATCAGGGGCACTTAGACCTCAACTGTGAGACAGTTCCCTTTTACATTTTCCTTTTCTTTCCACTAGTTTCTCTAGTGGATTCAGTTTTGGATGTGTTGCTGCCTTCTGAGACTGTAATGAACCATTAATCACTGGCAGAACGGCAGTAGCTGTAAGATCACTTTTTCTCCTGGATTTTCCAGCCCCAAAATACCAGAGCGCAGTAATGTTCTGTTCCCTGGAGCAGGAGAACATTTTGACTGTAACATTTCTGCCTGTTTTTAACTACCTTGCAGCCTCTGATTCCCTCCCACCCCCTATCTCTGAAGCATGTTGCCTTGGGTGATTGATCCCTTCTGATGCTCAGAAGTCCTGTGGGATAGAATTGCTTTTTGTTTTCAGAGTAGCTTGTGAGCTTGCCCTACATGCCTAGGTCTCATCTCAGGGCTGTTTTGATCATCAATATTGTTTTACTTAACAGAGCACCTTGTATGGGAGACTGACTGAATGGTTCTGTGTTGCAAGCTCTGTGCTACTCTCCTAAATTCCAGCTGCTTTGCAAATTTCTGATACCCATAGAAGGCCAAGGGGATGCTTTCACCCGACCTGTGATAACAGGGAAGAGAGAAATGAGAGGTGATTCCTGCAGGAAGCCCTGTGCCTTGTGTCTGAACTGCGCAGGTTGTTTTTAGCGCACCTTCCTTCCGCACAGAATTTCACTAGAGATTTTGCAAGACTTTGTAATTCCCCAGGGGAATTCGCTGGGTTTTGCTTGGTCTTGAACATGTTACAGACACTGGAGAATTTAGCATGTGTTGGGTGCAAATCTGTTCATCACTTCAGGCAAGCCCCAAAAGTTTGTGGTGGCAACAGACCTTTCGGTTTCACATGTCAGAGATTAGAATAGGTTGTTAGACTTCGTATGGGTCTAGGTGCCAATATTTTGAGTAGTCACCAGATGTCTGGGGCATGTTCTGAAAAATCTAACCCTTTTTTCTTTTTTCTTCTTCCTAGCACCAGTTCCTGAAAATTGCAAAGCCTCTGTCTAGTCTCACTCCTCTGATTATTGCAGCTAAAGAGGCAGCCAAGAACAACCATTAAAGTGGTGGAGTCAACACACTTGTCGTGTCAAGACTTTTAGATGTTTTGTTTCAGAGACTGAATTACCTGCCCCTCTCCCCATCTGCTCCTCCTTCACAGGGGTGTTCTTAAAACTTTGATCTGCCCTGAAGGGTGGCAGAGCTATTGTTCACTGAATGTGGAAGGGCACGCAACAGGGACATTGCTGATCTTACACAGTGAGCTGTCTTTCCATCCTTGTGATGGGGTTGAGAGGGGAAGAGTATTTTGTATGGCTGAGAAGATCTTTCTGAGAACGTCTGAACCTGACCTACACGTAGCAGAGCCAGTTTGTTTTCATATTTCTTACTGTGTTTATTTTTTAAAATAATGTGGAGCCTTAGACCATGTTTATCTTAATAAATTAAATCTTTTGCTGGCTGGACTTTCCCTGCTTCTGGCAAGCTGCTACTACACCACTGAGGCTGCTCTGTGCTTTGGATGACTTGAGGAGGGAAGGAAGCAGGCAGCAGAAACGGGAACGGCTGTAACAACTGAAAGGGGAACGAGGGTGTGAATACGCACCCCTCCTACCACCATCCCGCTGGATGCTTCGAGGGAGCATGGAGAAAGCCTCTGTGTGCTTCCTGCAGCCATTGGAGAACTTAATTCATGGATGATCTGTTTGCCAGATTGTGTCAACTGGGCCCCCCCCCCTTTAGTTTCAACTCAACTAGTTAAACAAATTTCAAACATTTCCAACGTTCTAGAAGGTAAATCACAGGAAAAATTGACAGAGAGCTCTTTTAGGGTTATTTTATCAGCGCTGTGAAGCTTCTTAGCGACCCTTGCCCTGTATGGTAAAGCAAACAGAGCAATTACTATTATAAAGATAAGATTTGCCTGCAAAATGATGTTGAAAACTCTTGTGTCTTAGAGCAAGTCCAATGGAAAACAAACTGATTGTGGATGCTGCTTTCTTGGAGATCTGGGAACTTTAATTTTTTTGAAATTATAGCGGTTTCTTCATGCTACTGATGCCTTTGGTTGCTAATAGTCTGTAAAGCAGGAAACCTGGAACTACTAGAGGGATTGGTTGTAAACACTGGGCTTATGTTCAACTGTATACTGATTTTTAATAAAATGACTGCTGCGTTTCATAACTTGGGGCTGAGGGAGGACTGAAGTATTCACGGTTATCAGGCAAGTCTGTCGGATGAGGTTCTTGTTCACACCGTCACCAGGTAGTTGCATGTTGGGTGAAGTAATATAGCCTTGTCTCTTACCCCTTCTTCTGTAGTCCTCTGGGAGAGCAAGTAGCTCTCAAGGGAGTAACCTTACGCACAGAGAAAATGGGTAAAAGATCTGTATTATAGCTGGGGAGCTGCTTTCTCTGTACTGCTTTGGTCCTTTATGCGGTGAGTTTAAACCAATTCTGGAGTAACCTCTCATCTCTCT